ACGAGGTTTGGAGTTGTGTTTGTGTGTGTTGTATCGTGACCCACAAATCGGGAAGGCAAGTATTGGGCAAGTAAGAGGCCGCTTACTGGTCGCAACATCCAACAAGGCCTGTAATCTCCTGTGGTGAAAGATGTTGCTCATCATGGCAAACGATAGAACCGCGCATCTCATCCGATACCTGAGGCGCAACGAGAGTTGGGTTTGAGAGGTACAAAATTGCTCAGCTCGTCCTGATGCGTGACATCAGAATCAGACATTCTATGACGAACATACAAAACTGATTTCGAAAGTGCAAACGGCAATGCAAAGCGACTACATTACATATTATAACTCATAGAACTACTGTACTACATCGCCAGCTCGTGAAGAATGTAGACGTTAACTTTGCGTTAACTGGCAGTTGAGTTAGGCCAGCCCGGCCCTCAAGGCCTCATTAATCATTGCCGGAGCCAGGCACATTGGTGCTTGCCTCCGGTAGTTGTCCGGACTTGGTCCGGACAGTCCGGTAGCATGATCAACCTCCCCTAAACAATACGGTCCGTTATCGAATCAGAATGAATGAATATTGAATTAAGTACTTACCGTAAGTTTTGCTCCTCAACCCACCATTTTGTGCGTATATCTTTCGCTCGTCAAGTCTTCCAATCTTTTGACTCTTATCCAAAGTCTTTTCAGCGCACGGTTGGATTTCCCAGACAATGTCGAACCGCAAAAGCGCCGTACGCGGCTGTATTGCCCATTGGTATATCTTGGGTATATCCAAGGTATATCTAAGCCCAATCGCGTTCAATCGATGACGTTCAGGGTCCTGAGGCCTGATGATTGACAAGGCACGTTTTCTTCGGCAACGAGCTTTTCTCATTCTAACCATTCGTGAACTCTTTAGACTTCATGGATTGAAAGCGTCTGACTGCTTTGAATTCGCTTTGTGAGGTAGCATCTCGTGGTCAAAACTGCGTGGACATTCAAAGAGATTTCCGAAGTAATGGAAAACATCCGATCCCTGGAAGAATAGGAACACCGAAATGCGATACTAGTGCATAACATCGCAAAACATCCTTCCTAGCTTGTGTTCACATGTGCGCGATCTACATATATATTTATCCACGAGTTGGCACTGCTAATATGTAGGGTCTTCATCAGTTGCTGTCCCGACGCGATTCTAAACCTGCTTGCTCGACATGTCCCAGGACAGGAATACTGCGAAAAATGGTGAGTGTCCAGATTCTTATCCTTCCCTGGCGTCTCATTCGTCCTAGGCTCAGTAACGGAAAATCTCTCCAAGTTGAATTTGAATAACGATGAGAGCCTACGATCGTGTAAGCCAGGACAATTTACGTCCCATTGATGAGAGCTCAATCGTGTCGCTAGCCTCATGGGAATGAGTGGCACTGGAAATCATCCGTGAATGGTCACGATTGCACTGCAAAGACTTTGGGCGCTAATGGTACGTTAGTTCATAAAACTTTTGACTGGCAATAAGGACATCAAGATCGGGTTGATTATCGACCTACCAGTTCATCAATGATGGTTCGGAAGTGACAATCGTTGATACTCCCGGTTTTGATGACAATCGACCGCACATGAGCGATTCGAAGCTCCTCGAGGATACAACCAAGTTCTTGTTGAAAAGGTATGCGCCAGGCCTCGTGAACCGATCGTTTCGTTCATATTTTAATTCAAAAGGCTCAACACGAACTCCTTGCAAGGTCTCATCTACCTTCACCGCAACTCCGACGTCCGCTTTGGCGGTACTGCGTATGTTTTCCCGCCGGAGCTCCAAGCTTACGGGGAGCAGGATGTGTTGTTGGCGCTTCCGGTCCGTCGGCAACGAGATTGGCTGATGATGGCTCAGGTGCCTTATCTGTTGTCATTCGAGATGCTGGATGACCAAGCGATCCTCCATTATGCGACGATGACCTGCAATGCATCATCGACTCCGGAAATCATTCGTGATGCCGCCAAAACACTGAAGGAAGACCTTGAAGCGTTCCAGTATACCGTTTCGCGGTATAGTCAGGAGCTTGACGATCAGAAAACGCCGTATCTTGTTCTGGATCCAAGCAAGACTGCAATATCGATTCTCATATGATTACTTATGGACCAAGTACGGTGTCGGCCCTCTTGTATGATATGTGTAATTCTAGCGTTAAGGAACGTGTAGTTGGTCTGTATCTCAAAGTGTTAGGAAAGGATCCGTAGATATAATCCGCCAGAGTTGCGTTCAACAAGGTCTGCACTAGCTCGAGACGATGTGCTCATTGAGAGGTATCTACTGACTGGGGCGTACATGAGGAAGTTTATCCAGTTTCGGTCTCTTCCTTCACGCTTCTTTTGCTTGCACGCTTGTTGGTTATTATAATGAGCTACAAAAGGCGTAATAAAAAGTATTCCTGTCAAAGCAGACATCCTACTACTCCCCAATCCACCATTCGGGACCAGGCTTATTTTTCTGCAGATCCCACTCGTAGAGTGTTCCGTTAATTTCAGCGTACATAGTTGACCCGCTTGGATCGAAGAAAAGCGCATCCACTGCTATGCGTATTCCAGGTTTTCCGAGCCCTTCTAACGGTAAGACAAGAGTTTCTTCCGTCTCAAACGACGTCGCATCGATCACATGAATGATATTAAAACGGAAGAGAGTATCATGCTAAGGATTCAGAACACCTGTTTGAGAGGTAGGTATATCAAAATGTGAACATCAGACGTACCTCGACAAATACCAGAACTTCTTTTCCCAATTTTCCACTGCTGAATTGCAGATGTCGTGCAGGCCGGTCATCATACTCAGACTTGGGGACATCCATGAATGTTTTCAAAGGAACTTTGCTTCGGATCTCCCAAACAGACACTCTGCTGCGAGCCATAGCCATAGCAAACTTGGACCCATCGGCAGAAAATGCAAGTACTGGTGCCTGGATGATAGGAAATGTTTTTGGGTCCATGGGAATGGGAATGGACATGCGGGAAACAAAGGAAAAGTTCAGATTGTTTGTGTCACCAGTTGAATCTGAATAGTGAATGTCAATCGTTTCCTTGACTCGTTCCTTCTCTGCTGCGTTCAGGAGAATGTGTCTGTCAGGGGATAGTATGACTTTGAGAACACATTAGAGCAGATTCAACATGAAATTTGGGACAAACCGAGACTATCGTGCTTCGACTTCGAGTTGAGCTTTAGATCATGATCTATTCTCCCGGACTCAATTAGAGGAAAAGTATGCGATGCATCAGTTTCAGTAGTAGAGATGTCGTACAGCTTCCAATGGTCGATAAACCGCACCCCAAAAGTAATTCCCAGGGGATTTTCGGTGGATTTTATCAACTTCAAATGAAAAATGTTGGAGTGACCATCAGCGCTACCGTTGAAAGACCAGGCAGCGCGACCAACACGATTGTCGGAGCGGATTTCATGGATTGATAGGTGTAGATAGGTCTGGGAAGTTGTCCTTCCCAAGTACTTTGCGAATAGCAGGATCCGATTGCCTTTGATGGGGGCGAATGAAATTTCTGCTACACGCCGCGACGGATGTCTCGGGACAATGATTCGTGGCTTGACGGCATAATGAGTTGTATACAACGAGCGGTAGGTGAACCAACCTCATGTTTTCCGGAGAAATGGATGTTGTGCTCAAAGATCGGACCGTCCCGGTGATAATAAATGATTCCCCTTTGAAGAGGGCAACGAAAGTTGTCGATTTCAGATTCCTCGTCATCCGTGAATCTGCAAGGGTAGACGATAGTGTTCAAACTTTGATACATACACAAAAGATTCTCACAAGTTGGGGTCAACGATGATGGTCTTTCTGGGAATCCTTGACTTTAGCAATGATGAAGGCGGTTCATCCATTGAGAATGCGGAAAGAACAATGGTCTGCCATACACTAAGCGCTGAAGCCCTTGGAGCGAGGTCGCCAGAGCTAAACCTTCCAAATATAAACACAACCAAATACAATTTAAAAACATTCATCATGATGATGCAAAGGACTTGCAAGGGACTGTGCATTGCGGCAAGAGTCACTAGCAACTGGTATGCGCTTTCCCTCTCAAGATCTCACCGGTGCGCCTCTTGCATGAAATCTCGCCACTGCTTTTTTCAACTCGCTGATTTGTTGGGACTTGGCCGCGTCATGATGATATGGCTTTTCAAAGGCACTCTCTCCAGTGCGGTCTCTGATATCTGAGTCCTATGCACCTTTTCCGGCGTTGTCGTCTTGTCCCCGGGCGTTGTCTCCAACGCGTCCTCCATCGTGGTTGGGTCGTACGACACATGTACAGGGCCTAAAGGTCACACGACGTAACGCCCTCTCCAATTGACCTATTCAACCGTTGGGCAGCTTGAAGGATCACTCTTACTTATCCTTCCCGCAAAGTCGTTCATGATTCGATCTTGGAGCGCAGCTGGCTGTTCTTGATAACCTGCGGTGATGCCATAAACGTGTGGACCTTCTTGGGCTAGTTGACTCGATTCCCAACGTCGTGTGATCGGTGAACAGTGATACAACAAACTTTTACATGGCTGGGGCGCGGTGGTAGGGGCGTATCGAGGTTGACTACGTGTCAGTTTTGGTTGATCGCCCAAGGGCGGTATTGGATCAGATATAGTAGTGTGTGCCCTGAAAGTTGTATATTGCATCGTTGCTGCCTGCATATGACTTCAACACTACAAATCTACTTGGAGGCTCACGGGTGTTTCCCAACGCCACATCGAGGCTGCGCCGCATGATTATCGCCCTTCGTTAACGGGGAAATACAGTGTTCACATTCACAAGCCAAGATTTGTGGATCATGACGGCGTGTAAATGATCTTTGCGGGCGTCCTGTTATCCGTATCAGAACCCATACGTTCTCAAAATAAAATCTAAAGAGCGAACGTACCGTTTTTCAACACCCTATACAAGCATATCATTAGCGAATATCACAGATAGTGAGCTGTGAGGAAGACGTACATCTTCTTCCCAAGCCACCTGTGCCTGCAACTCGGTCAATCCGAACAACAGAATGACATCATAGTCCACACGATAGTACTTTCCTCCTGTTCCATCGACTCTAGGTAGTGGAGGTTGCTTCATACGTGAAACGTCTACCGTGATATCGCACACGCATTTGTACATATCTGATGTGGTAGCTTGAGATGGGTGAACAGGCCAAGAAAGAGGGCAACTGACCAGCGTCCACATCTAACCACTCAGGATCAGGAAGTTCGCCTCGATAACACAAAATGTATGAGTGGAACTCCGTAAGTTTTGTCTCCGATGCGTGGGTACAGCCGCACCGGAATTCTGTCTTTTCTGATACTGCGGTTTTCTGCTGGGATCGGGTAATTGAGAAATACATAGCGCTAACGGTGAAGTGGGTACACTGACGGCAGGCAAGATGTTGCTGAAGCCTTTAGGGATCCGGTACACGCCCGAAAGTGTTTGGAACATAGATGATGAGCGTTTCAAGTGTTCTGGGTTTGTACTGTCATAGCATGGAGCGACGCCGAGACCATACGCTACTTTGCAAATGCGGCTTCGAACAATGCTGTTAAGGTGGAAGGACACTGCACCATCCGAAACTGCCTTGTTACTGTTCAAGGGATGAGAAAAGGAATTATCGATCACAAAGACGTACACCCGATTGTCGGGCCGGAAGATGTTGAGACGAAAGGGCTTGAGTGATCTTTGGACCTCGCTTGATAACCAGTTGCTAGCCGCAAAGCCTCCCACAAGGACGACGTGCTGTCCATTAATGGCAGATCAGGCATTGACTTGTCGAAGTGTAGAACGTCGACGTACCGAGATCCTTCCTTTAGCCGACTTCCGCTGATCTAAGATGGCGTTGACAATGCACTCGACTGAGGGCTTGAAGAATGTACAGATGTCATATCTGCGA